CAGATGACAACAGGGAAAGACCCACTGGAATCAAAGATCCCGCCAACTGTCAAGGGAGGGCCATCTTGGTGCTCCGCGTGCTGCTCTGGTAGCTGTAGGGGGGTGGTCTTGTAAAGAGGATAAAAAGTGAATGCTCCCGGAAGGAACTCTAACTAATGGCAGGCAGGTTGGTGGATAAAGTCCAGCTTCCTCTCTCCGCAGGTGGGGTGAGCACGAGGCAGGCTCTGTGCCACTTCCCAGGCCCTGGAGAGGCTGAGCTTCGGCTGCCCACAGTGTAACTTGCTCACCCCGAGATTCATAGGCTCCTTCTCCTCCCTATCTCGCTTCCGGAATATCTTAGCAGTGTTTTCTGGAATCCCCTCCTAAGCCCAGTCTACTCCAGCTAGACATCACGCGTTTTCCCCCATTCCCATTTCCCTGAGATCTAAGCCCTCTGGCTCGGCCCATCCGAATTGTCACAGTCCCAGCGTGCCCCCTGGCTACAGTCTAGGCCTCAGAGGGTCCTCCCTCCTCTGAAAGGAAGATACTCTACTCACGTGGCAGGCAGTCAGACACAGCACACTCTCTCCTCTGTGGGGTGGGCTGGATAGAAAAAGTGGGAACCAGACATAGACACTGGGCCCCGAGTCCTGGCCTGGGTACTTCCTAGCTGGAACCTTGAGCAAATCACCTAACTTCTCTGACCTTCAGGTTCCTCCTTGCCTTGTTGGGTTGTCCTCTGGATTTGATGAACTAAATACAGGGTGTCTTCCCTCTCCCCCTCCCCCAATGTATGCACACTTTGTCTGTAGGTTCTATTACATTTTGAAAATGAAATGTATCTTAATGAACACTGCCTTTATAATTATTCAAAGCGTGCATACATTTTTTGGGACACCCTGCATGTAAAGAGCCAAGATAGGATATTGACTAATACGAGAAGATACTCCAGAAAATAGTTATTTGTAGTCCATTATTCTCTTTCCTGCTTTACTTTCTCATGCATCTCCATCCATCCTGTCCCCTGAACTAGACCATAGCTTCTCTGCCACATTTAACTTCTTTTCACATTGCCTTGCCCATGGCAGGCACTAAAAATTCTTCCTGAGTTTCCTAAAGTTTTACATCAATTCAAATTCATTTGCAGATTGTTTCTTAGTGTGAGGAATTCTCAAAGAATTTTTAGCAGGTCACTTCTGTTTGGGGCCTCAACTTCCTTAGATGCAGAACAAGTGTTTGGGTCTGTATTTCTAGATGCACTGAGGTCCTCCTAGCATTAAAGTTTGGAATCTATATATTCATTGAGGGCACATACTGTATGTTGTTATTCTTTCTGACCACCTGACACTTAATACAATGGTGGTCCTGAATTAAGTGACTACCCAGTGCATGTAGAACCAATTCCAGACACCTCCCAGCCGTACCTCTTACCACTGATCCTCTCTCTTTGTACTCCTGGGCCTTCCCAGGCTGGGTCTGCCTTAAGGCCTTTGCACTTGCTGTTTCTCATCATTTGGTTCTCTGCCCAAGGTCTCCTCCATGGAGGTCTCTTGCTCCACCTGTCTATCCCACAACGCTTTTTTCATTTCTGTCACTGCTCTCTGAAATTGTCTTATCATTTATTTGACTTCATTGTTTTGTCTCCCTACCTCTTCCTCTAGCCCCCCAACATCTTGGATCCTTTCATATCCCTGCTGCTAAAATAGTACTTAGCACCAACTAGGCCCCTAAATAAATGTGGCATGAATGAATGAATGAATGAATGAGCCCCCTCATGTTTTATAGAGTAGTTTTTAGGTGGCAAGCTCAAATCTGTGGCTATCGTGCTAGGTTCTAGTGGGCCTCTTTAGGTATGTGTCCTACATGACTATTGCCATAGCTCTGAGTAAACATGGAGTGGGAAGAAACAGGAACTCCTAGAAAGAGAACCGCAAACAATTCTATCAGTTTATCTAGAAACTTACTTGCAATGGAAAGTTCAGATATAATTAAAGAGAATAATTCTTTTTATTAAGGAAAATTTCAAACATAAACATTAGATGTGGTAGATAAGAATAGCACATTGGACTTGCTTGTACACTGTGGTGGACACCCCTTAGAGGGGCCCCCCACCCTAATGTCCATTCCCTTTCATCTATAATCCCCTCCCCTGAGTGGTGGAAACTTGTGATTGGCTTTCTCACCAACAGAATATGGCACATTTGATGTCACCTCTGTGTGATTACTTATGTAAGACTGCATCCTGCTAGCAGACTCACTCTGGGGCCTCTCCTTGCTGGCTTGTTGAAGTCAAGTGGCCATGCTGGGGAAGCCCACAGTGACAATGAACTCTGGGTGCTCTCTAGGAGCTGATGGCCAACTCCAGCTGACAACCAGCAGTCTTACAGGTGCAAGGAGGTGAATGCTGCCAGTGACCTGAGTGTGGAAACTGATCCTTTTCCAGTTGAGCTCCAGACAAGAATGCAGCCAGGCCAACACCTTGCTGGTAGGTGTGAGACCCTGAGCAGAAAACCCCAGGTGCCTGGACAGCTGACTCACGGGAACTGAGGTAATAAATCTGTGTTGCTTTAGGCTGCTAAGTTTGTGATAATTTGCTGCAATAGATAACTAACATTTTTCAACAGTTTGCCAATATTGTTTCATCTATACTGTCATGTTTTGGGGGGAGTGGGTGGGCTGGAGTATTTTAAAGCACGTGCAAATACTTTAGTATGTATCTCTAACTTTTAAAAAACAGAACCACAATGCCAGAAAAATTAGGTCTTAATTGACAACAAGGATGAGAATCTTTATTTTAAAGCCATCACGTCATGGATCTTGATTGGGCACCCTGAGAAAAGTGCTTGTAATAATTCGAATAAGAATAGCATCCCATTGATCCCATGAGCTAAAGGCAGGACAGCATATGAGAGCTTTCACTTGAAATGTCAGGCTTGCCAGTTGTTGTTTTTTGAACAGTGTAGCCAAAAAGCACTTAATTGTCCCCATAATGTGCTTATCCATCATGCAATATCTAACACCACTGGAACTCAATTCAGATTGTGTAAGACCCTACTCATTCCCCTAACCTGCTTTGGGATGGCCGCTTGTAAATTCCATTTTTTAAAATTCTTACCTCCTTATAACTTCGTGTCTTTTTCTAATCGCCACCCCCACCACGTTTTCCTTACTGATCTTTTTCTCTTTTGATTAAACGAATCTCTTCTCCCTTTGACACAGCTCACCGAGGAGGCAGCGCTTTGCCAGGGAAATTCTCAGGGTTTGGGGCCCTATCCCATCTCCACCACAGGAGCGCTTTGTGATCGTTGGCAAGCAGTTGAGCATCTCCAAGCTGCAGAGAGCAGTGCCGCGCAGGGTGAGGTACAGCCTGCACATATAACGTGCGTAAGGTGTACAGTGCTAGCACGGAGGGGGCACAGCAGTCCCCGCCGTTCCCTTTGTTAGCTCCCACCTCCGACCACCCAGCACCAGAAATGCCCAGCACCATGCCTCTCCCGCCCTCGTCGCGGGGGATGCTGGGATTTGTAGTCCTTTAGTTCCCAAGTCGTTTCCTCTCGGAGCCGGACGGGGAGAGGAAGAACTACACCTCCCAGTGGGCCGTGAAAGGAAAGTGGGGCTCGGAAAACCGAGCGTTTGCGCCGGCTGCCTCCGCTCTCTGCTTCCCACGGGCAGTGCCAACCCGTGGAGGGCTCAGACCCCGCGGCAGGGCCCGGGAGGGCGCGAGCGCACCAGCGGAGCGGCGGGGGCTGCGGGGCGGGCGGGCACGCGCGGGCGGAAAGTCCCTCCGCGGCCGTGGGGGCTCGAGCGGGGAGCAGAGAAATAAAGCGAGCACGCTAAGCGCCCGGAGTGGAGACGTGAGAAAGGACAGGCCCGGGAGGCAGCAGCCCACGCAAAACAAGCCTCCGGGCTGGTCCTCCGGGCGGGAGGCAGGGGCCAGGCCCGGAAGCGGCCCAGACCGCTCCGCTGTCCTCGCCTCCCGGTGGGGATCCCCGAAACCTGGCCCGAGACCCCTGCCCGCAGCTCATCCCGGCGTCCGGCCTGTCTCGTCACCAGGCCCCCCTCCACCCCACTCCCGAGCAGCACTAAAGCCACCCGCAGCTCGGCCGCTCGGCCACGCGCCCCGCTAGGGGGGCAGGAGGAAGTGCCTGGCAGGCCCGGGAGGGTCACCTCTCCGCGCGGGGTCCTCGGGTCCCCAGAGTCGCTAGAAGGGGCTGGTGTGTTTCGAGGCTGCAGCTGCTGCCGGGAACCCGGGGGAGGGACGGGGGCGGCCAGGAGCCTGGCGGAGAGCGCGCGCCGCGGGGGTCCACGTCCTCGGGCGATGCCGGAGGGAGCCGGGCTCCGGTCCCCGGCCCGGCCGGTGCGGGGCTCCGCAGAGAGAGGAGGAGCGGAAGGAGGAGCCGCGAGGGCGCAGCGCGGGCCGCCGCCCACCCGGCCGGCAGGAGGCGGACCCGCTCCGAGCGCGGCGCGCGCCGGGCTGAGCCTTGCAAACAAGTGTCTGTGGCGCTCGCCCCGCGGCCTGAGACGCGCTCCTCCGCCCCCGCGGCCCTCCGCGCCGCCCGGCTCCGGCGGGACAGGCGGGAGCGAGGGGCCCTGGCCGCGCAGCCCGCCCGCCGCCGCCACGACCGGCAGCCCCGCGCGGGGGCCGCGGGCTCAGCGTCGCTGCCAGGCGCTGGCGCGGGGTCGCCGCGCGAGCCGCTCCCGGTGTCGCCGAGCCCGCTCCGGACCGAATAACGTGCGGGGTGTCCCCACCCCTGGAGGGGTGGCCGGTGCCGCGAGCGGCCTCCCAGTTCCCATCTCTCTCCTGGGGAAGACCCGCCGCCGCGAGGGAGGATTAGACTGAACCTGGCCGAGGCGCACAAGTGGCTCCCGAGCGAGCCGGCTCCGCGGCCGCCGCCTCGTGTTCTCCCCGGACGCAGCGCTCGCGGGGCGGCGGGGCCGGAGCCTAGGCGCGGCCGGCGGCCCGGGGGCGGCGGGGCCGGGCGTGCAGCGGAGCGAGGGGGCGGGCGCGCGGCGAGCACGGGGGCGGCCAGGCAGCCCCACGCGCCCCACGCGCCCCGCGGGGGCCCGGCGCCCCGGCACGCGGGCTGGAAGCGACTGAGCGCCCCCGCGGGCTGCGGGCGAGCAGCGTCCCTCCGGGCTGGGGACCCGGCGATGAGAGCGGGGCTCCCCGCGGGGCCAGCCTGGGCGTCCTCCGCAAAGTTGTCACCGAGCTCGGATCCCGCCTAGGGGTCGCCGCGCCGCGGCTCGAGGGGCGGCCGGGCGGCCGGCGGCGGTCGTGGCTCGGCGGGGCCCGCGCGGCCGGGGGGCTTCGGGGGGCGTGCGCCCCACGCCGGCTTCCCTCGTGGATGTCTCCCGGCGGCGGCGGGCCCATGAAAGACTGCGAGTACAGTCAGATCAGCACCCACAGCTCCTCCCCCATGGAGTCGCCCCACAAGAAGAAGAAGATCCCGGCCCGGAGGAAATGGGAGGTCTTCCCGGGAAGAAACAAGTTCTTCTGCAACGGGAGGATCATGATGGCCCGGCAGACGGGCGTCTTCTACCTGACGCTCGTCCTCATCCTGGTCACCAGCGGGCTCTTCTTCGCCTTCGAGTAAGTGGCGGGGAAAGCTCCCCACGCGGGCTCCCCTCGCCTCCCCGCCCCTCCCCTCCCCTCCCTTCCCCTCGGTACTTTCGTTTTCTAGAAGCTTTATCTACGGAATATTGTTATATAATGCAAGCCCTCTCTCCCTCTTTTTCTGTGGAAGGTGTTTGCTTCTGGGTCGGCCCTGGGAGGAAGGCGCGGGGCGTGGAGACACTTGTAAGGTGCACCAGCCTTGCTGCCTCCCGGGTTGGGTGGCACCGCGCAGGTGGCGACTCTTGGCGCTGTCTCTGTGTAGTTTGGAGACTAGCAAACCCAGATGTAACCTGCGGGAAGCGGGACGAGGCACAGTCTCAGGTCAGGGGTAAAGAGAAGCGACTTCCCTTCTTGCGCACAAGCTGTAGGGCACCTTGTTAAGCTCGGGGGACTGCGTGTCCGACGGTGCGTACCTTTGCTGAATAATGACGAGTCCTGGTCATTCGAGGTTTCAAAGTGCAGGCCGCCCAGTGTGGCCCGGAAGGGGAACGTCATTTTTCGTTCTGCTTAGACGTTCACTCTTGCACAACAATTTCTGATTTACCACGATATTTCTAAAAGGTCCACTTTTTAAAAAACGTTCAACAGCCAGTGTTCCAAACAAACACCTGGCCTCCCCCTCCCGAATCCGGGAACAGGTGGAAGGAGACTTTAGACCTGTCCAGGAGAAGTGTGGCCCTGCCTGGAACTTTCTCATTCCAGGAGCTGTACTTTGGGACTTGAGCGCTTTTATCTGGAACAAAAGTGCATGTAAGTCTTGGCTGTCTTCAGGAAGATCAACTGTCCAACTAATGAAAGATCTTCGTATTTATTAATGGTATTAGATAAAGCAGTTTAACCACATTCCAGAATCGATTTCAATTGCTCTTATTGGGGCCAACATTTGCAGTGCAGCCGCTTACGTAATTCCTGGTATCTTATGCTCAATGAAAGTTGTAGCTACTTCCCCCCAGAATCAAAAAAGCAGTGTATTCCTGGGAGTTTTTTGTGCTTCCCATATCCTGATTGTTATGGGGCATCATACCCTTTTATCTCCTTCTGTTGGATAGAGTTAATTAAAACCCTGTCTTTCTTTACTTCTGTTTCTGATTAGTATTAATAGGCTCTGATTTTGTGCCTGAAGTTTGATATTCAAAATGCTGTCTCAATCAGTGCTCTCTCGACAGTGTACCAATGTAGTACTGAAGGCCCTCTGTGGGGAAACACTTTGTCTCTGACTGTGGTGAACAGTTTTAACAGGATTGAGTTAGAACAGGTGAGGAGAGAGAGCTCGTTCTAAGCTGCTCTCCACCCCCAGGTTCTTTTCACACACAAGTCCTCCATTTTGACTGTGTAAAATACCCAGGTCTCTCCTAGCAGGCTAACTTTTGTGCGCAGTTGAGACTAGGTGGTGGAGTCTGTCGGGGGACCTGGGGACAGGAGGGGAAGGTTGTGACGGGGCTTTAGAAATGGCAGGAGAAATGCTCTGTCCCTTCTGCTGCTGTCCTCATCCGGAGCCGCCCTTGTCCTTACAGACCTGGGAACTGAGGAGGGGGCGAGATGTGCCCGGTGAGTTTGCATTCTGAGACTTAAATTCAGGCACTGGAATGATGATGCCATGTGGTTGCATAGAAATGAATGCCATCATTCTAATTAATGGTGGCTTTCATTACAGGTGGTCATTTACTGTAGATGGAGAGTATTCACTATGTTCCTACTGTTAAAAAAGTTTTAAAGGGCCCAGCTGCCATGGCTCAGTGGTTGAGCGTTGACCTATGAACCAGGAGGTCAAGGTTAGATTCCAGGTTAGGGCACATGCCCTGGTTGCAGGCTCCATCCCCAGTAGGGGGCGTCCAGGAGGCAGCTGATCAGTGATTCTCTGTCATCACTGATGTTTCTCTCTCTCCCTCTCCCTTCCTCTCTGAAATCAGTACACAAATATAGTAAAAGAAAAGTTTGGAAGGGATCTATTTTGGCATTTTTGCTCCTTTTAGCAATTTTAAGAGCGGAGAAAATGGAGAAAACGGGTTAATTTTGTGATTGTGTTGCAGAGCATCAGCCACAAGTGTCTTTCATGTAGGAGGAGTATTTCATTTGCTATATTACCCAAATCCCCACTGTATGGTTAGGGGTCCCCCAACACCAATTATTAGTTACCACTTTTTATTTTCTTCGTTCAAACACTTAGTTGAGCTAAACCATCATAAATTCATCTTCCCTTCTTTCTTCCAAGAGTTCCCAAAAGTCCTCATTAGCAGGCTGTCATGGATCCTTCTCTGCATCAGCATTGTGCTAACTGATGGCTGTAGGAATCAACATGTGCCCTGGGGTTTTGTTAGCTGCTGTTGGCAGCTTCATTTTTATATCAGCTGTGTGTGTGTGTGTGTGTGTGTGTGTGTGTGTGTGTGTCTGTTTGGTCTCCATGAGTGTTGCTTAATTAGGCAATTTGAAATTTCAAGAAGGTAGACCCATCCTATCATGATGCCTCAGTTGAGAAAAAACATAGGGCTGTTCAGACTATAGAATATGATGGTTTGGCAAATAATATTTGTATTGCTTTTAAGTTCTTTGTCATTGCTAATTGTAGAGTGAAAATAACTTTGGCTAAATTAATTTGATAGAGACTCAGGGAACCAATTAGCTACATGCATAGGTAATGAAATACAAAGAGGCTAAAATAAAAGCGATCCAGACAAAATGCTGGTTTTGTCTGCGTCCTGCCTGATTCCTCTGCCCTTTCTTTAGTTAGTTATTGAGCACATACAATGTGCTTGCCTATTTTGATTGATTTCTTGTCTAGATAATGTTAACATTAGTAGAATTTGTTTTCAAACATTAGATCCTATGCTTTCCCATACAGTTACACAAAGGCAAATTCAAATTTTGAAAAGAAGACATGTAACTTCTAAAGTTAGTTTTAGGCCTCCTTATCCTGGGACTCCCTGCCCGTCTCTCTCATTCCCAACCTTGAACAGACGGATGAGGAGGTCCGTGCCAGGGAAGTGAACTTCCGGAGCGCAGCAACAGGTGCTGTTCCTGTCCTCCACCCTGGGAGAAAGGCAGGGGAGGAATCACTCTTCCCACCCCGGAGAGGAAGTGACGGAGGCTTGGAGAGCTTAAACACCGCTGAGATTGCACAGTAACTAGCGGCAGGGCTCTGACTGCAAAGCCAGCGGCCTCTCTGGCCCCCGGTGCTGCTCTTCCTTCGATACACAGCAGTGGGGCATGGATTTTGGATGGACAATTCCCAAGATTCTTACCAGAAGAATGACCCTGGGCAAATTATTTGACTTTTTAAAGCCCCAGCTTCCCAGTCTATTCAATGGGATTAATAATATCTTTCTTTAAATGCTGTGAAGATTAAATGAACATGTGTACTTAGTACAGTGTCTGATGGAGAATAGCAAGTGCTCAATAAACAGTGCCTCTGATAGAGGAAACCTTAGAAATAGCCTCTAGAGGACTCTGCTTTCCCCCTCTGAGAGCCTTGGAAGGACGGGGAATGTGGGTTAATAAGCAAGCATGACAGTGACAGCTTATTAGGGCTGAAAATGCAGAACTGCGGAGTCTGTGCTTAAAATAAAGGCCTCTGAGGAGTGGCTTCACCCTTGTCCCTTCAGAGTGGGTCCTGCAGGGATGGCTGGGGTCCGTCCTTTTCCAGACCCTGAAGAAGAGCACTGAGCAAGCCTGCAAGAAGCGAGGACTGGATTTCATTTCCATTTTGGGAGCTGCCATCTCAGAACCGTGGAAACAGGAAAGAGCGCTACTAGGAGCAACCTGATGCAACTCCCCATCTTTTCCAAGTAGGGCAGGGCTATTTGTCTTTTGGCATCTTTTATTCACCAGATGGAGTGTGGATGCAAAGCGACACATCTCACAGCTGTATTTAAGAGGGAAGGGGGGATGCTGGTTGCAGCTACGGAGACAGCTTGCTGCTCCTGGAGGGCTGGCTCATCAGAGACTCCCTGCACTGTCCTCATCTCACATCCCCATGATTGCAGTGGGAAAGATCAGTGAGCATTGCCAGTTTCTGTCTACACACACACACACATACACACACACACGTCTGCTGCTGTTTCGAGTTGAAAATAAAGTCTTTGGTCCTGAAATATTGGCATTTCATAGTCTCTTGATCACAAGGGCAGGAAGAAGGAGATGAACTGGGAGGCAGAGCAGATTCCTGTTTTCAGGAGCATCCTGGGAGGTGAGGGGAGGCCTGCTCAGATCGTGCCCTTGAATGCCTCCCAGTCACCATGGACAGTTTGGAGGTGTTACTAGAATTCAAACACTTGAGAATGTGGGAACAGTCTCTAATTTTTCATCACTAGAAGTCTATTGATGATTTTTTTTTAAAAGCCGTATGTATTCCTCCTCCTCCTCTTCCTACTCCTCTTCCACCTTTGGCTAATCACCTCTGAAGTACAGTAAGTTCCCACTTTACGTCCTCCTTGATAGGTTCTGTGACTTTAAGCAAAATGGATAATGAAACCAATTGAAACATAAGCTAACTGATATAAACAAGAATTAAGTTTCTGTGGCATATGGCATCTCCTCAACATTTTCATGAACGACGTTGAACGAAATTGGCATATTTTGAGGACCTGCTGTAATTGATGAATAATTGGTAGTCACCTTGAAGACGGAACAAAGGACTGTCCCCATAAACAAAAGCGCCATTTCCAATAATTTCTCCTTTGCAGATGAGAGGGCCTTTATTATCTAGCAGAAGGTATTGCTCTTATAACATGTAAGCATCCCATCTTTTTTCAACCATCCTCTTCAGAACGGCATCAAATTCTCTAACACCTCAGAAAACATCCAGAAAATGCCCAATCTTTTTCTGTCCGAATGCTGGCCATGCTGTGCATCGTGGAACCCCATGGGGTTGATGGCCATTAGGACCTCACCACTGAACATTAGTACCTGGTGTCAAGGACATTTCATAACCCACTATGGCCCCATGCAAATCGTAGGTTGCTTCAAAACCTTATTAATGA